GAGGCACTCGGAGCCTGGAAGGTGGTCGGGCACAGGGAGATGGGTGGTTCAATGCAGGAGCACCCCCTACTGGCCTGCCACAGTTGCTAAGGTTTCATTCGAGAATGCTAGGAGGTTCCCCAAGCAAAGAATTAAACACCATACTTAACCAAATCCAAAATGAGTTTAAATTTAAGATGACCCCTCAATAATTAGATTATATACATGAAAAAATATAAATGTGTTAAATTATTCCATGCGTAGAATCTAGTTCTGGTCATCTTAAACTTGTCACTCCCACTACTGCAATGGGAAAATCAGAGGCAGGGAGGTTTCCCTGCCTGCCCTGCCACCCAGGCACTTGTCCCTCTCATTGTTGCTTTCCCTATGTGGTAAGTGTAGCTTTGGCCCAGGGTGACTCCAGCCCCATCTAGGCAGCAGCAGCAACAACACCAGCAGCAGCAGCAGCTTAAGCCCTGGGTTGGGGTCTGAACCAGGGCTGGAGCTGCAGTAACTCCCCTGCACTGCCCTGGGCTGCAGCATGCAATCTCTCTGCCATGCTCCCTTAGCCACTGCACCATGCTCCACCCCCTCTGTAGAGTCTCCCTGCATTGCCCTCCCCCACAGTCTCCTTGCACCCTCCCCTGCACCATGTGGTCTCCCCATCATCCTGCACCATGTGTTGTCCTGAAAGTAAGGGCCAGAGTCAGAGATGTAGTAGCTGCCTGTCTTGGACCATACTCCAATTTAAGATGATGGGTTTTTTTTATCCCATGTTGTATGGGGAATAAACCTTATTGGGATTCAAGTAAATACAGTAATAATTGCTCACTAACTTATGCTGATGTTTACACCATAATTTACAAAATATAGTCTTTTAAAATAAGAGAGTCTGCTTTCAAGAGTCATTCTTTTGTTGTGAATCGGACAAAAACATATTATGGTCCTACAAAGACTAGTATCTGGGTTTGAACCTTTGGATTCCTATTTTACAATAATATTATTGCTTGAACTACAAAAATACTGTATTTCAAGTTCATCGATATGAAGATGAATTGGACACATACTTTCCTAGTGGCTTACCCAATTTTTTTCTAGTCAGCAATAGAATATCTGTGAACAGGACTTATAAAGTCTCTCTGAAGCTTTGGCTCATGGATGCATCAGTAGTGGTTAGATGATAACCCAAACTCAATTACTTTAAGACAATGTGGAACATTGGAAACAAAATCGTGAATTTTATGTAAAAGCCTGGTTTTGGGTCTGCAGTGATCTTTTTGCAACCTGTCTCCTAAATTATTTGAGAAATAGGGGTAGGAAGAATAAAACATTTAGCATTTTTTTGCAGTTTGTCTTCTATGTTAGTTTTCAGAAGGTGGCCATTACATAGGGAGTGAATTGCAGGGGGATTTAACCACTTAAATGAGATCTGAACTCTTGGTTTCCTGTGTCCCAGCTCAGAGAATTATTCATGCAGAATTATTGTCAAATGAAAATTTGGTCAATTTACTATGTCTTCCATTGTGGCTAAAACATAAAATGGTATATAGGTGAATGATATAATTGATATGGTAACTGGTAAATCATGAAATAAAATAGAATAGGGATGGCAAAAGATGCATTTCTGAAAATGAAGACGATATTGGCAAATAGTAAAATTTCTATAGGGACGAAGCTAAAAGTTTTGGATTGCTAAGTTTCATAGATTTCATAAACATTAGGGCTGGAAGGGACCTTGGGAGATCTTTGAGTCCAGCCCCCTGCCCCAGGGGCAGGAAGTCAGCAGGGGTCATAGGATCCCAGCAAGATAAACATCCAAATGTCTCTTGAAGGCATTCAAAGTAGGTGCTTGAACCACATCTGGCGGCAGTCTATTCCAGACCTTCGGGGCTCGGACAGTAAAGAAGTTCTTCCTTATGTCCCGCCTGAAATGGTCATGGAGGAGTTTATGACCATTCAACCTTGTCATCTCTTGCGGTGCTCTGGTGAACAAGCATTCCCCCAGATCCTAGTGAGCACCCCTGATAAACTTATAGGCAGCCACCAGATCACCACTGAGCCTGTGCCCTTCCAGGCTGAAGAGTCCCTGGCTCTCAGCCTCTCATCATAAGGTCTGTTTTTCTGACCTCTGATCATGCATGTGGCTCTCCTCTGGACTCACTGGTTATACCAGTCCTTATGTATATATCAGAATGCTGGACAATATCGCCAAGTGTGGAAAAGAGAATTGAAGTCAACTGAGATGTGGTTCTTAAGGCACACCTTGAAGGTGTGTTGGACAAGTCATACCTCCAAGGAAGATATTTTGTCAACAGCAAGCTTCAAAAGGAAGCTACTGATTAACATCAAAACGAGACAGTTGGAGTTTCTTGGACGTGTTATGAGGAAAGAGGAAATTGAAAGTCTGGTTGTAACTGGAAAGACTGAAGAAAGGCGAGATCATGGAAGACAGAGGTTGACTTATGTCAAGAGTCTGTCTAAATGTATCAACGCTGGAAATTTTGTATGCCTCGAAGTGAAGAGATCTCTGGAAGACCATGGTCACCAATGTTCTGTTTGGATATGCTATGTAGAGAGAAAGAGAGAGATCCCCAGATTCCATAATGGCTTTTTGGAGGCTTTTTTTCCCATAATCAAATAGAAAACAAAAGTATTATGTACACTCGTGTGCGTGTGCGTGTGCGTG